ATCATGACCCTGATGAATAACAAATACCACGTGAAGCGTCCAGCAGTTTTATTTCTTAACAATGCATGCACGCAAATAAACGTTGCCAAGGGTTGAAACAAGTGTTTCCGTGGCCTTTGATTGGCTAACTAGGCAGTTTCCATACGGATGTTTCCGGACTACTGTTTCCTGATTGGCTGATAATAGAATGGGCGGGGCTTGTGTAGCATTGTTGCGCTGTAACTGATTTCGTATTATTATCCACAGTTTTTTGTCCATGGTTAGATAAGCTATCCGTGAAATTATTATTGTTGACGTATTTATTCATTACAATAGACATCACTATATTTTTCGCTTATGGAGTTATAAGCGTAAACATCGGTGAGCGCACTTTGCGTACATGTAAATCCTCTAAATATTGAAAGTTAATTATTTTTTAAATAAACCGGTGCAAAATTACGGTTTTGTTTTGATGGAAAATACATACTTATGATATAGTCGGATTCGTAGCAGAGATCATTATTGTTATGGAATGGGTATTGTTTGTTTGTTGTTTAACGCCGCACTCAGCCATATTCCATCTACATGACGGCGGTCTGTAAAATAATCGAGTCTAGACCAGACAATCCAGTGATTGACATCATGTGCATCGACCCACACAATTAGGATACGATGACATGCATCAACCAAGTCAGCGAGCCTGACCACCCGATTCCGTTAGTCGCCTTTTACGACAAGCATAGTCGCCTTTTACGGCAAGCATGGGTTGCTGAAGACCTATTCTTCGGGTCTCTGGTGTATTTTAAGGCGCTTCTTTTCTTCAGGACAGAGTTGAAATTGTGCAATGGCGCTAGCGTCGCAATGGCTCTCATGTTCGTCGTCTTCTTCGCATTAGGACCAGGTGAGTCTATCTTAGTTGCACACAGGCATTTTTTATACTCCATTTTAGCCGTGTCTTAGGACAAGCACAGATAACTCAGAATACTTCAAACTGACCTGACCTTGTTTTGTCCAATGAGTGCCGAGCGCCACTCAGGGTAACAACAGATACCACATTTTAACGTCTTTTGGTATGACGTGGTAGGATATCGAAACACTAAATTTCTTCTCACCGGGAAGACGTTCTATCCACTAGATCATGGATGCGATCTCAGGTTGAGAGAGGGTATGTACCTGAAGTATGTAAGTGATAGTGCTATCCCTCTGCAGTCGAACACCATACCGTTGCATCGAGACGACGTTGATGGTTGTGTGGCCATCGCCGTCAGAGTACACGAACACACAAGGAAGACAGGAGATACATGAGAGGCGGTCCTCACGTGTCACTGATTAAACCACCTTGCTATATGATAAGCAGGTTTTGGTTTGGTTGGGTTTGTTGTACGCCACACTCAGCAATATTCCAGCTATATGACGGCGGTCTGTAAATAATCGAGCCTGGACCAGACAATCCTCTGATTAATATCATGAGCATCGATCCACGCAAGCCACGCAATTGGGATCGATGACATGTACCAGCCAAGTCAGCGAGCCTGACCACCCGATCCCGTTCGTCGCCTCTTACGACAAGCATTGTCACCTTTTACGGCAAGCATGGGTTGCTGAAGACCTATTCTACCTCGGAATCTTCACGGGTCCCCACCGCCGTCAGAGTACACAAACACACAAGGAATCCAGGAGATACATGACAGGCGGTCCCCACGTGTCACTGATTAAACCACCTTGCTATATGATAAGCAGGACAGTGGGGACCTTCAATGTATGCTGAGATGGAATAGTCTTGGAGTGAACTATTGAAGTGGAGCTTTGAGATACGTATCATTCCGATGAATAAAGGCCACCGCGAAACATCAGTTACAACGAACACATGTGAAGATATATCACTGGTTGTTACTCACCATCGCTGATTTATATAAAGGAAAATACCTTCATTAATTTGAGACGGGTTTTTTATTATCCACGTGTCCTTAAGTTTAATAAGAAGAAAGGTGTTCATATCGCTACAACGTTTTCATAGTGTGTTCGTAGCCATATAGGCGTTTTGGGGGGACTCGTAAGAGGCAACCAGGGATGGTCGTAAGATGCAACCTGTGATGGTGGTAGGAGGCAACGTGTGATGGTCGTAGCAGGCAGACTGTGATGGTCATAAGAGGCAGCCAGTGATGTTCGTAGCAGGCAACCAGTGATGGTCGTAGGAGGCAAACAGTGATGGTCGTAGGAGGCAACCTGTGATGTTCGTAGGAGGCAACCAGTGATGGTCGTAGCAGGCAACCTGTGATGTTCGTACGAGGCAACCTGTGATGGTCGTAGCAGGCAACCAGTGATGGTCGTAGCAGGTAACCAGTGATGGTCATAGCAGGTTACCTGTGATGGTCGTAGGAGGCAACCAGTGATGGTCGTAGTAGGCAAGCTGTGATGGTCGTAGGAGGCAACCAGTGATGGTCGTAGCAGGCAACCTGTGATGTTCGTACGAGGCAACCTGTGATGGTCGTAGCAGGCAACCAGTGATGGTCGTAGCAGGTAACCAGTGATGGTCGTAGGAGGCAACCAGTGATGGTCGTAGGAGGCAACCTGTGATGGTCGTAGGAGGCAAGCTGTGATGGTCGTAGGAGGCAACCTGTGATGGTCGTAGGAGGTAACCTGTGATGGTCGTAGCAGGCAACCTGTGATGGTCGTAGCAGGTAACCTGTGATGGTCGTAGGAGGCAACCTGTGATGATCGTAGGAGGCAACCTGTGATGGTCGTAGGAGGCAACCTGTGATGGTCGTAGCAGGTAACCTGTGATGGTCGTAGCAGGTAACCTGTGATGGTCGTAGGAAGCAACCTGTGATGGTCGTAGGAGGCAACCTGTGATGGTCGTAGCAGGTAACCTGTGATGGTCGTAGGAGGCAACCTCTGATGGTCGTAGGAAGCAACCTGTGATGGTCGTAGCAGGTAACCTGTGATGGTCGTAGGAGGAAACCTGTGATGGTCGTAGCAGGTTACCAGTGATGGTCGTAGCAGGTAACCAGTGATGGTCGTAGGAGGCAACCTGTGATGGTCGTAGGAGGCAACCTGTGATGGTCGTAGGAAGCAACCTGTGATGGTCGTAGCAGGTAACCTGTGATGGTCGTAGGAGGCAACCTGTGATGGTCGTAGCAGGTTACCAGTGATGGTCGTAGCAGGTAACCAGTGATGGTCGTAGGAGGCAACCTGTGATGGTCGTAGGAGGCAACCTGTTATGGTCGTAGGAGGCAGCCAGTGATGGTCGTAGGAGGCAACCTGTGATGGTCGTAGCAGGCAACCAGTTATGGTCGTAGGAGGCAACCTGTGATGGTCGTAGCAGGCAACCTGTGATGGTCGTAGGAGGCAACCTGTGATCGTCGTAGGAGGTAACCTGTGATGGTCGTAGCAGGCAACCAGTGATGGTCGTAGCAGGTAACCTGTGATGGTCGTAGCAGGCATCCTGTGATGGTCGTAGGAGGCAACCTGTGATGGTCGTAGCAGGTAACCTGTGATGGTCGTAGGAGGCAACCTGTGATGGTCGTAGGAGGCAGCCTGTGATGGTCGTAGCAGGTAACCTGTGATGGTCGTAGGAGGCAACCTGTGATGGTCGTAGCAGGTAACCTGTGATGGTCGTAGGAGGCAACCTGTGATGGTCGTAGGAGGCAACCTGTGATGGTCGTAGGAGGTAACCTGTGATGGTCGTAGGAGGCAGCCAGTGATGTTCGTAGGAGGCAACCTGTGATGGTCGTAGGAGGCAACGTGTGATGGTCGTAGGAGGCAACCTGTGATGGTCGTAGGAGGCAACCAGTGATGGTCGTAGGAGGCAACCTGTGATGGTCGTAGGAGGCAACGTGTGGTGGTCGTAGGAGGGAACCTGTGATGGTCGTAGGAGGCAAACAGTGATGGTCGTAGCAGGCAACCTGTGATGGTCGTAGGAGGCAACCAGTGATGGTCGTAGGAGGCAACCTGTGATGGTCGTAGCAGGCAACCAGTGATGGTCGTAGGAGGCAACGTGTGATGGTCGTAGCAGGCAACCAGTGATGGTCGTAGCAGGCAACCTGTGATGGTCGTAGCAGGCAACGTGTGATGGTCGTAGCAGGTAACCTGTGATGGTCGTAGGAGGGAAACAGTGATGGTCGTAGCAGGTAACCTGTGATGGTCGTAGGAGGCAACCTGTGATGTTCGTAGGAGGCAACCTGTGATGGTCGTAGGAGGCAACCTGTGATGGTCGTAGGAGGCAACCAGTGATGGTCGTAGGAGGCAACCTGGAATGGTCGTAGCAGGTTACCAGTGATGGTCGTAGCAGGCAACCTGTGATGGTCGTAGCAGGCAACCTGTGATGGTCGTAGCAGGCAACCTGGAATGGTCGTAGCAGGCAACCTGTGATGGTCGTAGCAGGCAACCTGTGATGGTCGTAGCAGGAACCTGTGATGGTCGTAGGAGGCAACCAGTGATGGTCGTAGCAGGCAACCTGTGATGGTCGTAGCAGGCAACCTGTGATGGTCGTAGCAGGTAACCAGTGATGGTCGGAGCAGGTAACCTGTGATGGTCGTAAGAGGCAACCTGTGATGGTCGTAGGAGGCAACCAGAGATGCTCGAAGGAGGCAACCTGTGATGGTCGTAGCAGGCAACCTGGAATGGTCGTAGCAGGCAACCAGTGATGGTCGTAGCAGGCAACCTGAAATGGTCGTAGCAGGCAACCAGTGATGGTCGTAGCAGGTAACCAGTGATTGTCGTAGCAGGTAACCTGTGATGGTTGTAGCAGGGAATCTGTGATGGTCGTAGGAGGCAACCTGTGATGGTCGTTAGAGGCAACCAGTGATGGTCGTAGCAGGGAATCTGTGATGGTCGTAGGAGGCAGCCAGTGATGGTCGTTAGAGGCAACCAGTGATGGTCGTAGGAGGCAACCAGTGATGGTCGTAAGAGGCAACCTGTGATGGTCGTAGCAGGTAACCTGTGATGGTCGTAGGAGGCAACCAGTGATTGTCGTAGGAGGCAACCAGTGATGGTCGGAGCAGGCAACCAGTGTAGGTCGTAGCAGGCAACCAGTGATGGTCGGAGCAGGCAACCAGTGATGGTCGTAGCAGGCAACCAGTGATGGTCGTAGGAGGCGATGTATTGGATCGGCTTGTCGGACAGCTCGGGGGTTTGGTTGAGTTGAATGTGATCGTGCCCCGACAGCGTGGATAGTTTCCTATAATATCAATCACTGGCTTCTCTGATCACTAAATTGTCTACCCGTCGTCACAGAGATAGACAATTGCGGCATTAAACAACTACCAACAAACGAACAAAGCTATATGGGTGTGACATTGCAGGTTCGACGTCATAACTGAACTTATTCGCTCTTTTTTGTAGGTTCTATACCCTGGTTGATCGTGGCCGAATTGTTCTCCCAAGGGGCAAGATCGTCCGCCATCAGTGTCTCTGTCCTCGTCAAATGGGTGGCGAACTTCTGCGTTGGTTATGGCTTCCCTCATATGCAGGTATGTTGGTCACACACGCGTGTCTCTTGAAAGCAAATACTGCCAGCAAACATATTTGCCGTAAAAGGCGACTAACGGGATGGGGTGGTCAGACTCGCTGACTTGGTTGATGCATGTTATCGATCCCAATTGCGTGGACCGATGCTCATGAGGTCAATCACTGGATTGTCTGGTTCAGACTCGATTATTTTACAGACCGCCGTCATATAGCTGGAATATTGCTGAGTGCGGCGTTAAACAACAAACCAACCATCCAACCTACCAAACCAATATGCATTTGTTCAGCCTTTGCCGAAATATAATGCCACAGTCAGCAACTTTCCAGGTGTATCAGGGGTAATGCGGACCCAAACACACCAGTCGTGGTGTTAGTAGCACTGTCGTCGTCGAGTTGCCATTCACACTCAATCAACGAAGTCCGCTTAGTCGCATTTAACACCAATCATATGTCGTTGTGGACCTGTACCACTCCGGACAGGGGCACGCTTGGCCCAGTCGTCTAAGGCGCCGCGATTCGCCCTCCAGCTTTGCGTCCCCTGGGCACGCCAGAAACCTATGATTGTGGGTTCGAATCTCGGTTCGCCCCGATTAAGTTTCCAGGTTTGTCAGCACCATACCCGTGCTCGTGGGTTTCACCGAAGTGGTAAACGTCTGAGACCTGCGTCACTTCGGGTTTTCCTCCCACATTAAGCTGACACGCCACGATATAACTGGAATACTGTTAAAAGCGGCGTTAAACCCAACTCACTCACTCACTCTGCTCCGGAACTCTCACAGTGTTGAACTTAAAGTTTGGGCGCCTAGAAATATCTTTCTTACGGAGTTTTGGAGCACTTTTGTTGGTTTTGTTTAATCGAATGACCGATGTATGTAATTGTTGAAGGATCACTGTAATGGTTGTAAGTATGCAACTCCTGACATCTTGCGGGGTTTTACATAGCATTTGATACATGGGAGTCAGGATGACCAGATCCGTGAAGATTCAGGGGTAGAATAGGTCTTGAGCAACCCATGCTTGCCGTAAAAGGCGACTATGCTTGCCGAAAGAGGCGACTAACAGGATCGGGTGGAAAGGCTCGCTGACTTGGTTGGTTGTTTGTGTAGTTTTTAAAGCTGCACTCAGCACTATTCCAGCTATATGTCAGCGGTCTGTAAATAATCGAGTCATGACCAGACAATCCAGTGATTGACATTATGAGCATCGATCCACGCAACTGGGATTGATGACGTGCATCAACCAAGTCAGCGAGCCTAACCACCCGATCCCGTTAGTCGCCTTTGACGACAAAAATAGTCACCTTTTACGGCAAGCATGGGTTGCGGAAGACCTATTTTACCCCGTAATCTTCACGGGGCTGCTGGAAATTGTAACACTATAGGTCCCACTTGAATATTGTATTACTGAAACATCACTTACTCACTAAAATATTCCTTACTCACTGCACATGTTTGAATTGCTAACATGACAGATGAAACACCCTGATCATGAATTGGTATTTACCAGGTGAGCTACAGGTTCGTCGCAAATTTACACATAATAATCTGTCTCCCGTTTTCTTCTCCAGAAAGGACTGATGAGTTTTTCGTTCTTGCCCTTCACTGTTCTGCTCGTGCTGTTCTGGATATTCCTATTTATGTTCCTGCCAGAAACGAAAGGCAGAACAATCGAGGAAATCTCATCAGAATGGAAACAAGACAGAATCACAGGACAAAGTTTCAGATCGGAGAGCTATTCGGTTTCTTTTAAGAAAAACACAAATGCCGTTTAGTCAAATAAATAACTCTTAAAATATATATAAACAGATTATAGACTATTCTCTACGGATGAATGAATGTTCTTTAAGCAGCTTTGTCAGCATGCTATTCCTCAAAGCACTCCGATGTCCTCTCTCTTTCTGCAGGACAGACATTTCAACCATTGAACTGTCTGAAGTTAACTCTGCACTTGTAGCGTTGACCATGTGCATACTGACAATGATAGCATTAATTGCAACAGTAAAAATAGCTATATAGTACGGCCAGTGCCCTTTGAAAGGTGGTCCAAATAATGTCACCGTGATTTCGTCAATGATGGTTGGTTGGTTGTTTAACGTCGCACTCAGCAATATTCCAAATATGACGGCGGTCTGTATTAATCGAGTCTGGTCCAGACAATCCAGTGACTGACATCATGAACATCGATCTACGCAATTGGAATCGATGACATGTACCAACCAAGTCAGCCAGTCTGACCACCCGATCCGTTAGTCGCCTCTTACGACAAGCATAGCCGCCGTTTACGGCAAGCATGGGTTGCTGAAGACCTATTCTACCTGGATCTTCACGTGTCGCATACTGACAATGATAGCATTGCAACAGTAAAAATAGCTATATAGTACGACCAGTGCCCTTTAAAGGGTGGTCCAGATAATGTCACCGTGATGTCGTCAATGATGGTTGGTTGGTTGGTTGGTTGGTTTGTTGTTTAACGCCGCACTCAGGAATATTCCATCTATACGACGGCGGTCCGTAAATAATCGAGTCTGGACCAGACAATTCAGTGATTGACATCATGAGCATCGATCAACGCAATTGGGATCGATGACATGCATCAACCAAGTCAGCGAGCCTGACCACCCGATCCCGTTAGTCGCCTTTTTCGACAAACATAGTCGCCTTTTACGGCAAGCACGGGTTGCTGAAGACCTATTCTACCTCGGATTTTTACGGGTCGTGAATATGTAATTAGGCTTGTTAATTTGTTGTTCCATATTACCGATCCTCACTGCTGAAATAATGCTAATGCGAAGTTACATTTTAACTCACTCACTGGTAAGCAGGGGAGACCATAGGGAATTGTCCCCTCTGGGATTCCGCATGAAAAGGGTGAAGTTTATACTTTGTAAATGTCACTTTTAAAAGTTTGTTGAAAAATGAACGGATCATGCGAGCAGCATTTAAACCAATCACATCACAGGAAATCCATAAACTTCAAAATAGAAAGTTATAGATGAATCAATTGAGCTATTGATAGATTTTGAATTCTGACTTGGATCGTTTTGTTTTTGATCCGTCATAAGCTCAATGATTTAATTTTTACTGTCGACAGGGTATGTCCCAATCTGTATATAGCTGCGATATTGCTATGGGCGGTCGGGTAGCCTAGTGGTTAAAGCGTTCGCTCGTCACGCCAAAGACCCGGGTTCGATTCCCGACATCGGTACAAAGTGTGAAGCCCGTTTCTGGTGTCCCCCGCCGTGATATTGCTGGAATATTGCTAAAACCATACTCACTCACTGCAATGTTGCTGATGCTATGGAAACGTTTAAATCACTCAGTCTCATGACAACGTGATGTGTATATTCTATCAAGACGAATTTCAAAAATACGCTCTTGCAAAAAACAAAAAAATAATGATAATAACAAAAGATGTACTGTCCAGATGCACATGGCTCAGGAGGTAAAATTTTGTTGTGAAATAAAAATAAGAAGCATCAAGGCATGATAAAACATTTAGGTTCAGTGGACAGGTGATGTTGAAAGAAGTTCAGAAGAGTTTTAAATTCAACAAAGTAACAGTAATATTTTTATCTGGAAATTGATAAAACTGTTTTGGTGCTGCAGATTATTTTTGTTTGTTCGTTTGTTTATTTGTTGTTTAACGCCGCACTCAGCAATATTCCAGCTATATGACGTCGGTCTGTAAAATAATCGAATCTGGACAAGACAATCCAGTTATTGACATCATCAGTCCACGCAATTGGGATCGCCTTTTACGACAAGCATAGTCGCCTTTAACGGCAAGTATGGGTTGCTGAAGACCTATTCTACCATATTAGTTAAAATTTGTTGAAATATAAACAGATCATTGTTGCATTGTAGGATTTTATCCACTTTTTGTACCAGCAAGAGGTGTGTATGCTTCTTTGTATTGTTTTCGTAGCAACTTTCCAAAGAAGAACAGACAGAGGAATAACAGTATTTGTATGAAAGCTATCATCGCCATGGAATAATGCAGCATTTGAGGTTCGAAATGTGACATCAACTGCCCTATAGTGAGGGCTATCAATGACGTTCCTGCCAAGTCAAAAAATATGAAAATGGCATACAATGTATCATTCACTGTAACATTTTCTACACCCCATGCCAATAGAGCCGAAAATAACGGAGCATAGCACAGTCCGAGAAAATGGGAACCCGCCCATAAAAACTCCGAACTCATTTCTGCAGTACATACCAGAAAAACAGATGCAGCTAAAACCCCTACCAAACACGATGTGACCAAACACAGCTGTCGCACTACTAAGCTCACAAAGACGCCCCCAACACGCCCTAACAATATGACTGCATAAAAAGATGATGTCATCAGTGCCATTGTTGTCTCTGGTATGCTGATACTGCTTCGGGTTCCAAAGAGCAAGAGTAAGGTCCCGTATACGAAATATGTGTCGCCTCCCATGAATATTAAAGATATTTGGAAGCTGACAAAAATAATTTCCATCTTTCCAAAGGAATAATTGTTTTTCTGGTCTGAATCCTGCTTGGGACTGTTTTGTAGACAATAACGTAAAACAGCCAAGACAATAACAAGTAGTGTTCCAGTTGATGCAATGATCAGATATGCGTAAGCTATTCTTGAGTCTGACCCTCCACATTCGATTGACGTCACGACCAAGTCTGACATGTTAGACGCGTTGCTTTGGTTGGTTGTGTTGCTGAGAAAAGGGGAGATAATCAATGGTCCTAGGATGTTGCCAGCGCACATTGCTATCCCCATCAAGTGGAAAGGAATAGCACTCTCCTGGCTTAATGCACCAATCTTGGCAACTCTAGCTGCAATGATAAAACATAAGTGTCATTGAAACAATTTGTCAACTAATATGTTTTTTTTGGTTTAAATTGTGTTTGTCGGTTTTCACCGAAGTCAGCAATATTCCGGTTATTTCATAAGGCAGACAAACCAGTGTCTGATCAACGTTCCAAGACGTTTCAGCACCATACCCGTGCTCGTGGGTTTCACTGAAGTGATAAACGTCTGAGACCTGCATCACTTCGGGCTTTCCTCCCACATTAAGCTGACACGCCGCGATTTAACTGTAATACTGTTAAAAGCGGCGTTAAACACAACTCTCTCACTTTCTCTCTCCAAGACAGGCAGACAAACCAGTGTATAATCAACGTTCCAAGACGTTTGGGTACAATGTCGCACGACCAATGTTGGAACTTGACCATCTGATCATATATAGTGCTTGAGGCTAATTCTAACATTGAAGACACTTGTGGAGTAAGAATGTTCAAACGGTCTTAACCCTCATTTTGGAGAAAGATCTGGAGCCCAATTATGAATAAGATAATAAGGTGAGGTCAAATGGTGTTCAGCGTCGCGTCCTAGATTATTGCACTTATGTAGCGACGTGCATGCACGTGTGTGTGTGTGTGTGTGTTGCTGCTTGTACTAGACCGGACTGATGCCGATTTATAGTGCTAGCCCACTGAGATACCATGTCTCAGTTTAACAGACTCCGAGCCGACTAGTCCTTGTTTAAACCCCTAAATCGAACCCCGAACCTGGTACAGTCTATCGTTTCAATCTTCTGCTGCTTCAAGTATAAGCAAGTTACATTTCCCAAAGTAGACGAAAGAGAGTTGAGTGAGTGATTGTCTTTCATTTGTAATTAATAGAGTCTGAGAGTGGCAGGGCTACATGATAAATCGATATTTGTTTTGTGTTGCTGTCAATCACTTTCCACCTGACATCCTACATGTATATATAATGCGATAATATTGAATGTCATGGTTAACTGAGTAGGCACTGCAAATGGTTTTATTATTCAAACGTTTAAACCATAACACAACTACTAATACGTATTTTAGTTTTGCAAATCAATAAAGTCTCTTTTTTCCTTGTTTAAGCACCTTAATGCCGAACGCCTGACAGGGTAACAACAAGTACCAACTTTTATGTCATTTGGTATGACGCGACCTGGGATCGAACCCCGAACCTTCCGCTCTCCGGGCGGACGCTCTACTACTAGACCACGAAGGCGGTAATTAGATAATGACTAAATGCAGGTATATACTGTCCAAGACATTACACAGTTACAATACTGTCTTCCACAACTACTCACCACTGTTTACAACTCCACTGGTCAGTCCTAAGCCAGAACTTGCAGCTGCAGCCACCCAGAATGAGGAACAGAGGGGTATTACCAACACGAGGCAACTGCTGACAAGGACACACACCATCATCAGTGTATACACATTGAACACTGCATGTAACGGCACGTACAGCACGCTGCCTGCTGTCTTGAAGCCAGCGTACACAGGAAACAGGGTGCTGATGGTCTGAACACTCACGGAGTACAGGCACTGAAGGTCCTGTAGACTTGGTCCAAAGCTGCTGTCAATGAGTCCCTGGAAGAAAGACATTCTTGCCGTATAAGGCGACTTTGCTTGTAGGGGAATGGTCTTATCGGTTGGTTGGTTTGTTGTTTAACGCCGCACTCAGCAATATTCCAGCTATATGACGGCGGTCTGTAAATAATCGAGTCTGGACCAGACAATCCAGTGATTAAACTCAAGAGCATCGATCCACGCAGTTGGGATCAATGACATGCATCAACCAAGTCAGCGAGCCTGACCACCCGATCCTGTAAGTCGCCTTTTACGAAAAGCAAAGTCACCTTTTACGGCAAGCATGGGTTGCTGAACACCTATTCTACCCCGGAATCTTCACGGGTTGAATGGTCTAATGTATGATTTCAACACAACAGATGTGTTTTGTATTTGCACGTGCGACAATTTGTCGCTATAAA